TTTTTTTTTCAAAGAATATATTTTTATTGATTTCGAAGGAGGAGGAGAGAGAAACATCCATGATGAGAGAGAATCATGGATCGACTGCCTCCTGCACGCCCCACACTGGGGATCGAACCCACAACCTGGGCCTGTGCCGTTGACCGGTATTGAACCCGGGACCCTCCAGTCCGCAGGTGGATGCTCTGTCCACGGGGCCACGCCGGTCGGGGGGCTGTCAGTGAAGTGCCTACGTGCACACGGCCACGCGCAGTCAGCTCCTCTCCCTGCCTCCCTCCCCGCCTACACGTGTCCGCACCACAGCACAGCCCCGTACCTGCGGGCAGACGCCCTCCACGGCGTCCACCACGATGAGGCACCCGTCGCAGATGCGCACGGCCGTGGACACCTCGGAGGAGAAGTCCACGTGGCCGGGGGAGTCGATGAGGTTGATGAGGTACTCCTCGGCGCCTGGAGCGGAGAGGGAGGGAGGGAGGACGGACGCCGTCAGCCCTGCGGGTACACAGCGCGCTGCCTCAAGGCTCCCCCGCGGCTGCTGGCTCCAAACAGCGTCTGCGTAATATATTCGGACTCGCCCTGGCTGGGCTGCTCAGTGGTTAGACTCAGTGTCGGCCGTGGGAGCGAAGGGCTGTGAGCTCATTTTTTTTTAAATACATTTTTACTAGAGGGCCAGTGCGCAAATCCGTGCACGGGTGGGGTGCCTGGCCACCGATTGGGGCTGATGGGTGCCATCTTGCCCAATGCTGACCGGGGTGATTGGGGGCTGGCTGCTAGGGTGGTACCGTGGGAGGTTGGCCGGCCAGGGAGGTACCATAGGAGGGCTCCAGGGTGTGTTCAGTCTGCCTTACCTAGTCCTGATGGGCCGGACCCAGCAGCAATATAACCTACTGGTTGGAGCATCTGCGCCCCCCCCCCCCCCGGTGGTCAGTGAGTGTCATAGCGACTGGTGGAACGGTCATCGAACAATCAAATGGAGGGTCGGACACTTAGCATATTACACTTTTATAATATAGAGTTGATTTCAGAGAGAAAAGGAGAGGGAGAGAGGAACATCAATGACAGAGAATCATTAATCTGACAGCCTCCTAGATGCCCCCTACTGGGTTCAGTGGATAGAGCATCGGCTTGGAGGCTGAAGGGTCCCAGGTTTTTTTGTTTTTGTTTTTGTTTAAATATATTTTATTGATTTTTTACAGAGAGGAAGGGAGAGGGATAGACAGCTAGAAACATCGATGAGAGAAACATCAACCAGCTGCCTCTTGCACACCCCCCATCAGGGATGTGCCCGCAACCAATGTACATGTCCCTTGACCGGAATCGAACCTGGGACCCTTCAGTCTGCAGACCGACGCTCTACCGCTGAGCCGAACCGGTTTCGGCCCGGGTTCTATTCCGGTCAAGGGGCACAGGCCTGGGTTGCGGGCTTGATCTCCAGTAGGGGGCGTGCAGGAGGCAGCTGATCCATGATTCTCTTACATCATGATGTTTCTCCCTCCCTCTCTCCCTCTTCTTTCCTCCCTGACATCAATAAAAATACATTAAAGGGGAAAAAAGGGAGAGACGGCCTTACCCTGTGCGTAGTGCAGGGAGATAGCACTGGACTTCATGGTGATGCCCCGGACCTGCTCGTCCTCCCTGCTGTCCATGTACCGCAGCTGTATATGGGAAGAGAGCACAGGCGCCTTACTCCCCACGGACTGACACGTCACGGTCAAGAGGGACGATTAAGACTTTGGTGTTAGGTGCTTACTTTTTTTATTTTTTATTTTATTGATTTTTACATTTTTTTACTTTATCGATTCCCGTCAAAGGCTTGTCCCTCAGTTGCAGGCTCAATCCCTGGCCCCGTTGGGGGAGAGGCAACCAATCAACGAAGTCTCTCTCACATGGATGTTTCTCTCTCTGTGTCTCTCCCCCTCCCTTCCACTCTCTCTAAAAATCAATGGGAAGCCGAAACCGGTGTGGCTCAGTGGATAGAGCGTCGGCCTGCGGACTGAAAGGTCCTGGGTTCGATTCCGGTCAAGGGCATGGACCTTGGTTGCGGGCACATCCCCGATAGGGGGTGTGCAGGAGGCAGCTGGTCGATGTTTCTCTCTCATCGATGTTTCTAGCTCTCTATCCCTCTCCCTCCCTCTCTGTAAAAAGATAAAATGAAATAAAAAATAAAATAAAATAAAAATAATAAAAATCAATGGGAAAAATATCCTTGGGTGAGGATGAACCAAAATCAGCACCAATACCCTAACCCAAGGGGCAGCAAACTCACTAGTCCACAGAGCTAACCATCAACAGGACAACGATTGACATTTCTTTGGAAAGCCACATTTTATTTTTTTATTTATTTTTTTTTTTAAAATATATTTTATTGATTTTTTTTTACAGAGAGGAAGGGAGAGGGATAGAGAGCTAGAAACGTCGATGAGAGAGAAACATCGACCAGCTGCCTCTTGCACACCCCCTACCGGGGATGTGCCCGCAACCAAGGTCCATGCCCTTGACCGGAAATCGAACCCGGGACCTTTCAGTCCGCAGGCCGACGCTCTACCCACTGAGCCGCACCGGCCTCAGCAAAGCCACACGTTTTAAACTTAAACGTCTTCCAACGCCACTTCTTCAACACAGACTCGCCCAGGCCGTTGGTTGGTTATTTATTTATTTATTTGTTTGTTTTGCTTTTCCCCCTCAAAACACTCAACACAGCTGCCTGGGGAGAGTCTCTCTGTCTGGAAAATGGCCACACGGTGCCAGGGTCTGCCTGACGTGTGGTGCTTCCGGGACCGCTGAGCGCACAGCCGAGGATTCACCGCAGGGCTGAGACTCAGGGTCGCTGAGAGGCAACACGTGCGCGTCGACTACCATGACCTACCTTGCCTGCCAGGCGGCTGGAGATGATTCCGTTGCTGGATATGAGGCAGTCGGCCAGGGTCGTTTTGCCTGTTAAAGTAACAGCATTCATTTAAACCCACTGATTTTTAATTTATGGTCGCAGGCGCATCCCCGATAGGGGTTGGGCAGGAGGAGGCAGCTAATCAATATTTCTTTCTCATCGATGTTTCCAACTCTCTATCCCTCTCCCTTCCTCTCTGTAAAAAAAAAAATCAATAAAATATATTTTTTAAAAAGAATAATAAAATAAATCCACGGAAAAAATATCCTCAGATGAGGGGGAAAGAAAACAAACAAACAAAAAACAATAAAATCATCTGACATCCGTTACCGTGACAACGACGACGACTCTCAATGCAAACCCTTCACATATCAGGACAATAAACCCTTGCACAATAAATCACTTTTTTTTTTCTCTCTGAAAGCTGCACTGGGCAATTTCAAGCATCCTGCACAGTTTTAACATTCAAGTTTTGTTTGTTTGTTTTAATATATTTTATTGATTCTTTTTTACAGAAAGGAAGAGAGAGTTAGAAAATCAATGAGAGAGAATGATCGATCAGCTGCCTCTTGCACACCCCCTACTTGGGATGTGCCCGCAACCAAGGTACATGTCCTTGACCGGAATCTAACCTGGGACCTTTTAGTCCGCAGGCTGACGCTCTATCCACTGAGCCACACCGGTTTGGGCAACACTCAAGTTTTAACACTCAAATTCTCATTTATTGTAGAAAACAAGGCAACACGCCAGAATGCAAATCACCGGCCAGCTGCCTTGATTTGCAAAGTTTCACCAAGTCAGTCTCAGACATCAAAGGCCGGAAGTCCCGCCCCTCACCCCGAGGACACCCCCGGGGGTTGGGGGGGGCGGACCCTGCCTTCCGGACCCTGGACGCGGACCCGGACCCGGACCCGGACCCGCACCCTGGCTGCTCCTCACCGTGGTCCACGTGCGCCAGCACGCAGATGTTCCTGATGTTCGCGGGGTTCCGCTGCAGCTGCACCATCTTCTCCAAGCTATTGGGCACCATGGCTGCCTGAAGGGAGAGGGCACAGGGACTGAGGCCAGGGGGCGCCTTTAGCTCCAGGGCTGGGGGTTCAAATCATTAAGATAAAATAAAATAAAAGAAAATAATATAATGTAATAAAATAAATAATAAATTAAATAATACATTAAAATAAAAAATAAAAGAATAAACAAATAAAAGAAGTTAAAATAAAATAAAAAATAGAATAAACAAAGTAAAATAACTTAAAATAAAATAAAAAATAAAATAAATAAAATAAAAAATAGAATAAGCAAAATAAAATAAAGAAGTAAAATAAAATAAGTTAAAATAAAATAAATAGGTTAACATAAAATAAAAAATAAAATAAATAAAATATAAAATAAAAATAAAGTAAAATAAAATAGATAAAATAAAATAAAAAGTAAAATAAAATTTAAAATGAAATAATAAAATAAAATCGCTGGGAGGTGCGGACGGGATAGCTTGGGTGCCGCACCCCGGAAGTCGATGGAAGTTCCCGGGAGAAGGGACACCGCACCCACCGCGGCCCAAGTCCGGGCGCCGCCCTGACGCGCACACCTGTCCGACCCGGCGTGGGGGCGGCACCTGCCCGACCCGGCGTGGGGGCGGCTGCGAGGCACCCCGGGGCGCTGGGTGGCGGGGTGCTGGGTGCGGGGTGCACGGAGGGGACCCCGGGGCGCCCCCCAACGCCGCCGCCGCCTCCCCGCCCCGCACTCACCGCGCACGCGCTTCCCGGGGGACCACGGCGCCCGAGGGAAAGTTTGGGGTCCCGCGCCCCCGAACCCCGCTGGCCCGGCACTGGGGTCCCGCGCCCCCTTCCCCTCAGCGGAGGGAGCACCCCAAGTCTCCGCCCCCTTCGCCTCAGCGCGTGGGAACCGGGCCCCCGCGGGGAAGCGGCCCGTCCCCTCCCGTCGCCCGGGTCCCCCCCGCCCTTCTCCCCCGCCCACCCGCCGCCGGGGACCCCGAAGCCCGGCGCGGGGGGCGCGCCCACCTGCTCGGAACCCTCGCCGGGTCGCACACACGCGTTCGAGGCGCCCGGAGCTCCGCGGGGGCACTGCGCCTGCGCGTGGGGCGGCGAGGGGCGGGGCTCGGGGACGCGCGACGTCGGCCCCGCGCGCGCGCTGACGTCACCGCGTCCGTCTCCCGGGCGCCCGCGTTGCCTGGGCGACGGCGGGCGCGTCGGAACTAGGGCTGCGGCTGCCTGGAGGCAGGCGCAGTGGACCAGGCGGGCAGAGAGGATGCGGAGCTGGTGCCTGTGTCAGATCTGCACGTGCGGGTGAGCGGCGGCCCGGGCGGGGTTCACACGCGGTTTATTTTTTATTTATTTTTATTTTATTATTTTTTAAAAATATATATTTTATTGATTTTTTACAGAGAGGAAGAGAGAGGGACAGAGAGTGAGAAACATCGATGAGAGAAAATCATCGATTTTTTACAGAGCGGAAGAGAGAGGACAGAGCAGTGAAAAACATCGATGAGAGAAATCATCGATCAGCTGGCCTCTTGCACGCCCCCCACTGGGGATGTGCCCTCAACCAAGGTACATGCCCTTGACAGGAATCGAACCTGGGACCTTTCAGTCTACAAACTGGTCTCGGCAGCATATTACCCTTTTATTATGATGGATTGATTTCAGAGAGGAAGGGAGAGGAGAGAGATCAAAACATCCATGATGAGAGAGAGTCATGGATGATCGGCTGCCTCCTGCATGCCCCACGCTGGGGAATCGAGTCTGTAACCCTGACCCGGACCCTGACCTGAACCTAAGAGTGACCTCCTGGTTGCTAGGTAGAGGCTCAACCACTGAGCCACGCACGTCCCTCCCAGCCCCCGGACCCCCGGACCCCTTCCCAAGGTGTGCATTCTTGAGTTTTCAACCCGTTTTGGGCTTCTTTCAGTCTCCCTATCCCCCTTCCCCCTCCAAAGCAGCTCTGGGTCTGAGTGACAGGAAAGGCCGAGGTGGCCACCGTGAGTCCCAGGACTGGGCTGTGAGTCCTGCCTAGCAACTCTCCGCGCCTGGCAACCGTCCTCTGGGCCTGGCTGTTGACCCAGGGATTGAGAGTGCTGACTACGTCAATGTTACCAACAGGCCCCTCCCTCTTTTCTTTTTTTTAAAAAAATATATTTTTATTGATTTTTTACAGAGAGGAAGAGAGAGGGACAGAGAGTCAGAAACATCCGTGAGAGAGAATCATCCATCAGCTGCCTCTTTTTAAAAGAAAAATTTTAAAAATATATTTTATTGGCCGAAGCCGGTGTGGCTCAGTGGTAGAGCGTCGGTCTGCGGACTGAAGGGTCCCGGGTTCGATTCCGGTCAAGGGCATGTGCCTTGGTTGCGGGCACATCCCCGGTGGGAGGTGTGCAGGAGGCAGCTGGTCAATGTTTCTCTCTCATCGACGTTTCTAGCTCTCTATCCCTCTCTCCTCCTCTCTGTAAAAAATCAATAAAATATATTTAAAAAAAATATATATATATTTTATTGATTTTTCACAGAGAGGAAGAGAGAGGGACAGAGAGTCAGAAACATCCATGAGAGAGAATCATTCATCAGCTGCCTATTTTTTTTTAATTTAAAAATATATATATATTTTATTGATTTTTCACAGAGAGGGAGAGAGAGGGATAGAGAGTTAGAAACATCGATGAGAAACATCGATCAGCTGTCTCCTGCACGCCCCCCACTTGGGATGTGCCCGCAACTAAGGTACGTGCCCTTGACCGGAATCGAACCCGGGACCTTTCAGTCCGCAGACCGACGCTCCATCAGCTGAGCCACACTGGTTTCGGCTCCCTCCCTCTTTTGTATTCTCCTCCAGAGGGAGGTCGCCGGCCATGTGAGTGGACAGCAGTCCCCTCCCCCAGTTTCATGATAAACATCCTATACAATAAAAGGCTAATATGCAAATTGACCAAATGGCAGAATGACAGGTCTCTATGATGTGCCCTGACCACCGAGGGGGCAGACGCTCAGTGCAGGAGCTGCCCCCTGGTGGTCAGGGCGCTCCCACGGGGGGGGGGGGGGGAGGCCCTGCTCAGCCAGATGCCGAGCTCACGGCTGGTGAGGGGTGGTGGGTGATGGTGGGAGCCTCTCTTTAAAAGAAATTCAGAGAGGAAGAGAGAGGGATAGAGAGGAATTATTTATATTTAAATAAAAATATATTTAAATATAAATAGATTTATATTTAAATAAAAATATATTTTTATTTATATTGAGCGTCCGCCTTGAGCGTCCGCCCCCTGGTGGTCAGTGCGTGTCATAGCGACCGGTCGTTCTGCTGTTCGGTTGATTTGCATGTTAGGGTTTTGTTATAGAGGGTCTTTATTTATTTATTTATTTAAAATATATTTAAATAAAAATATATATTTTTAAAAATTATTAATTTTTATATTTTTATAAAATATAAAATAGAGAGGAAGAGAGAGGCTGCAGCCTCCATGGCAGTCGGACATCCTACCCCCTCACCCCCCCGGAGGGCATCCTGGACTGTGAAAGGACACAGGCTGGGCTGAGGGGAAACCCCCTTCCCCGGTGCACAAATTTCATGCACCGGGCCTCTAGCTGTTTTTATATGAACTAGAGGCCTGGCATGTGAAATTTGTGCACAGGAGGGTCCCTCGGCCTGGCCAGCGACCAGGGCCAATCTGCAGGGCCATCGGGGACTTGCTGGCACTTGCCTTGGTTGGCCTGGTGCCGCTGTTTGCTGGCCCCGCCCCCGCAGTCCCCAGTTGGTTGGGGCTGGGACACCATCATGGACAAATTAGCATATCGCCTCTTTTCATGTACAGACTAGAGGCCCGTTACAGGAAGATTTGTGCAATAGGCCTTCCCTCCCCCGGCTGCCGGCACTGGTTTTCCTCCAGCACCCGGGACCCAGGCCTCAGCTCTGGCCATCACCTTCCATCTTTGCTGTAGGTGGAGTCTTCTTTCAGGGGCCTTCAGTCTTTGCTCCTGTAGCTCCCTCCACCCCCTCGCAGCCCTTCCCCTCATGTCACACCCACGTCGCTCAGTTGCTCCACACCTACATGCACGTTGCCCAGAGGCCTGGAGCGGCTGGAGGGGCGGGGCCACCTACATATTTGCCGGGCTAATTTGCATACTCGCTTCTGATTGGTCGGCGGGTGTTGTGAAGTGACGGGCAATTTGCATATTTCTCTTTTATCAGTGTAGATTACTACACAACACGTGTTTGAAGGAGAAGATAACCTCTCCCGTTTGGTTTCTCGTCTGCCCAGGCGACACCGGTGCCCGCATGGAACCACGAGGATTTACGAAAACTCTGGCGCCTTTTGCCCGACGACGACGGAATATCTGGAAAGCTACCCCACGTATGGCAACGTCCCCCCAGCCCAGAGTCTCAAGCCCAAGCCAGACGCCCCGGAGGACCGCGGTCAGATGGAAGGGATCACGACCTTTAAGTAAATACGGAGCTGCCCTCTGCCTTCCTCCTCTTCCTCCCGGCTGTCCTGGGTCCGAGTAACATTGCTGAACTCCTCGGTGGACGTACTCAGGAAGCCATCCTGTCACAGAAAGCTAGCTGAGTCATCCTGTGAGAAAATAAACAAACAAAAAACAAAACAAAAACAGCAACAGAAAGATGAGGATTCCGTTTGAATGACAGACAATGAGCAGGGAAATAGACTCTCTATTGAGATGACTTGACCTGCTAAAAATCCCTCATATCTTTATATATATATATATATATATATATATATATATATATATTATTGATTTTTTTACAGAGAGGAAGGGAGAGAGATAGAGAGCTAGAAACGTCGATGAGAGAGAAAAACACCCACCAGTTGCCTCTTGCACACCCCCTACCAGGGATGTGCCCACAACCAAGGTGCACGCCCCTGACCGGAATTGAACCCGGGACCCTTCAGTCCGCAGACCGACGCTCTATCCGCTGAGCCACACTGGTTTCAGCAATCCCTTGTATCTTATCTGTTTTTTTTCTACTGTCACCACGACCGGGAAAGCATAGTGTTCTGACTGTTCTATCTGCAGCTCCTCTGACCTCTTTTCTCTACTTTGGCCTGCCAAGGTGATCTTTTTTATTTTTTTTAATTATTATTATTATTATTTTTATTTTTAATCCTCACGTGAGGATATGTTTCTATGGATTTGTAGGGAGAGTGGAAAAGAGAGAGGGAAAGAGAGAGAGAGAAGCATCGATGTGAGAGAGACACATCGGTGGGTTGCCTCCTGCACGTGCCCTGACCAGGGTCCCGGGCTGGGGACGTGCCCTTGACCGGAATCGAACCTGGTACCCTTCACTCCGTAGGACGGCGCTCTATCCACTGAGCCACACTGGCCAGAGCAAGATGATCTTTTTTAAAAAAAAAATTCAACTCTAATCCTTTCGCCTCCCTGCTTAAAATACTCTTATACTTTTTGTGTTTTTTTAAAAAAAATATATTTTTATTTAAATATAAATCTATTTATATTTAAATATATTTTTATTTAAATATAAATAATCCAGGACTGCTGGCTCCCAGCTGCTCCCCTGCCTGCCTTCCTGATTGCCCCTAACCGCTTCTGCCTGCCAGCCTGATTGATGCCAAACTGCTCCCCTGTCAGCCTGTTTGCCCCTAACTGCCCTCCCCTGCAGGCCTGGTCACCTCTAACTGCTCTCCCCTGCAGGCTTGATTGCCCATAACTGCCCTCCCTTGCAGACCTGGTCCCTCCCAACTGCCCTCCCCTGCTGGCCATCTTGTGGTGGCCATCTTGCGTCCACATGGGGGCGTCCATCTTTGAGTGTTGGGGTGATGGTCAATTTGCATATCACTCTTTTATGAGATAGGATATACACTAGAAGCCTGGTGTGCACTTACAAGGGTCTCTCAGCCCAGCCTGTGCCCTCTCAGAGTCTGGGACCCCTCAGGGGGGGGGATGTCTGATGCCAGCTTAGGCCTGGGGACGGGGCATCCAATAGGGTCTAAGCCGGCAGTCAGGTATCAATTCACAGTCCAGGGCTCTCACCATCCAGGACCCCTCACTCCTACCATCCGCCTGCAGCAGAGGCCTCGGACTCAGCCACTGTGCTCACCCTTCGTGAGCCCGGCTTCTGGCTAACCAGCACACTCCCACCTTCGCGGCAATGCGAAGGAGCAGCGATCCCCACTCTGGCTGAGCGACACTCCCCCTGTGGGCGTCCTGCCTTGAGCGTCCGCCCCCTGGTGGTCAGTGTGTGTCATAGCGACCGGTCGTTCTGCTGTTCGGTTGATTTGCATGTTAGGGTTTTGTTATAGAGGGTCTTTATTTATTTATTTATTTAAAATATATATTTTATTGATTTTTTTTTTTTTACAGAGAGGAAGGGAGAGGGATAGAGAGCTAGAAATGTCGATGAGAGAGAAACATCCACCAGCTGCCTCTTGGCACACCTCCGACCGGGGATGTGCCCGCAACCAAGGCACATGCCCTTGACCCGAATCGAACCCGGGACCTTTCAGTCCGCAGGCCGACGCTCTATCCACTGGGCCACACCGGTTTCGGCTAGAGGGTCTTTATTGATTCCAGACAGAAAGGGGGAAAGAGAAACATCCATGAGGAGAGAGAATCACGGATCGGCTGCCTCCTGCACGCCCCCCACTGGGGATGGAGCCTGCAACCCGGGTGTGTGCCCTGACCAGGAATCGAACGGTGACCTCCCAGTTCCTAGGTCGACGCTCAGCCACTGAGCCACGCCGGCCCTGCGGTGGGTGTTACCAGACCTCATTTTGTTTCCCATAGAGCTCGACTGTGTGAGGTCCAGAGTCAGCAGGAGTCTGCCCCCGAGAGGCTGACATCACTCGGGACACGTCGCATGTCCCGAGGACACGTCCGATGAATCAAAGCGCCTTTTCCCCTTACTGCCTCTTTCTAAAAGATTCCTTTGGCCCTGGCTGGTATGGGCTCCTGGATAGAGCGTCGGCCTGCAGACTGGAGGGTCCCGGGTTTGATTCCGGTCCAGGGCACGTGCTTGTGTGGCAGGAGCTGCCCCCTGGTGGTCGGTGCGCTGTGACAGCCAACCCCCCCTGGCCGGCCAGCCTGCCCAGAACAGCCCCGATCGCCCAACAGGCCGAGGGACACCTCCCCCTGCCAGCGCACGAATTCGTGCACCGGGCCTCTAGTTAGAAATAGAAGGATCGGCCGAAACCGGTGTGGCTCAGTGGGTAGAGCGTCGGCCTGCGGACTGAAAGGTCCCGGGTTCGATTCCGGCCAAGGGCGTGTACATTGGTTGCGGGCGCATCCCCGGTAGGGGGTGTGCAGGAGGCAGCTGATGGATGATTCTCTCTCATCGACGTTTCTAGCTCTATCTCTCTCCCTTCCTCTCTGTACAAAATCAATAAAAATAAATATATAAAAAATAAAAATAAAAAAAAAGGATCAGCCAAAACTGGTTTGGCTCAGTGGTAGAGCGTCTGTCTGCGGACAGAAAGGTCCCGGGTTCGATTCCGGTCAAGGGCATGTACCTTGGTTGAGGGCACATCCCCGGTAGGGGGTGTGCAGGAGGCAGCTGGTGGATGTTTCTCTCTCATCGACGTTTCTAGCTCTCTGTCCCTCTCCCTTCCTCTCTGTAAAATATCAGTAAAATATATTAAAAAAATAAATTAATTAATTAAATAAAGGATGGGGGAGGCTATGTGTCCAGTGTATAATGTCTTTCAGGTCGGATTACCGCCCCCACGAGATAGTCCAGCAGCCTCGCCACCTCCCGGAAGAATACAAACCCCGATCGGGGGACATTGACCTCCACACCACCTACAGGCGGGACTTCAACCCGTACCCCGCGCAGCCCGCGGCCGCGGTCCGGCCCCCGGAGAGACGGCAGGTTCAGAAAGGGAAGCTGGACACCATCCCCACCTACAAAGGTAACCCCGTCTCGAAAAGGACACGGCCAGCCGAAGCCGGTGTGGCTCAGTGGATGGAGCGTCGGCCTGCGGACGGAAGGGTCCCGGGTCCGATTCCGGTCGAGGGCACGGACCTTGGTTTCGGGCACATCCCCGGTGTGGGGCGTGCAGGAGGCAGCTGATCGATGTTTCTTTCCCATCGATGTTTCTGGCTCTCTGTCTCTCTCCCTTCCTCTCTGTGAAAAAATCAATAAAGTATATTTAAAAAAAAAAAAAAAAAAAAAAAAGGACGGAGCCGGCCTGCCCGGCATGGCTCGGTGCTTGAGCATCGATCTATGTCACGTCCAATTCCCCATCAGGGCACAGGCCCGGGGTGTAGGCTTGATCCCCGTTTTGTGTAGGGTGTGCAGGAGGCGGCTGATCCATGATTCTCTCTCATTCTGGATGTTTCTCTCATTTCCCTCTCTTCCTCTGTGAAAGCAATAAACATACACACACACACACACACACACACACACACACGCTGGAGGACTACTACATGAATGAAATTCATGCGGGGTGGGGGGGGGGGGAATATCCCTCAGCCCAGCTTGCGCCCTCTCCAATCTGGGACCCCCCCAGGGGATGTCTGGCTGCCAGTTTTAGTGGGATCGGGCCTAAACGGGCAGTCGGACACCCCTCTCACAATCCGGGACTGCTGGCTCCCAACTGCTCGCCTGCCTGCCTGCCTTCCTGATGGCCCCTAACCGCTTCTGCCTGCCAGCCTGACCACCCCCTAACCACTCCCCTGCCAGCCTGCTGGACGCCTAGCTGCTCCCCTGCCAGCCTGTTTGCCCCCCAACTGCCCTCCCCTGCAGGCCTGGTCCCTTCCAACTTCCCTCCCCTCCTGCCCTAATCACCCACAATTTGCCCTCACCTGCTGGCCGCCATCTTGTGGCAGCCATCTTGTTTTGGAGTGACGGTCAATTTGCATACTACTCTTTTTTTTTTTAAATAAACTTTTATTTTTTAAAATATATTTTATTGATTTTGTACAGAGAGGAAGGGAGAGAGATAGAGAGTTAGAAACATCGATGAGAGAGAGTCATCCATCAGCTGCCTCCTGCACACCCCCCACTGGGGATGCACCTGCAACCAAGGTACATGCCCTTGACCGGAATCGAACCCGGGTTCCTTCAGTCCCCAAGCCGACGCTCTATCCATTGAGCCAAACCGGTCCCGGCGGTTTTGGCAATTTCTTTTAAAAATATATATTTTATTGATTTTGTACAGAGAGGAAGGGAGAGAGATAGAGAGTTAGAAACATCAATGAGAGAGAGTCATTGATCAGCTGCCTCTTGCACACCCCCTACTGGGGATGTGCCCGCAAACAAGGTCCATGCCCTTGACCGGAATCGAACCCGGGACCCTTCAGTCCCCAAGCCGACGCTCTATCCATTGAGCCAAACTGGTCTCAGCGGGTTTGGCAATTTTTGCATATTACTCTTTTATTAGATAGTCTGTTTCTCTCTCTCCCCCTCCCCCTTCCTCTCTGCCACCAAATCATCTCTCCCTCTCCTCTCACTCTCTCCCTCTCCCTCTCCCTCCTCTCCTCTCCTCCTCCTCCTCTCCCTCTCCCTCTCCCTCTCCCTCGCCCTCTCCCTCTCCCTCTCCCTCTCCCCTCTCCCTCTCCCTCTCCCCCTCTCCCTCTCCCTCTCCCTCTCTCCCTCTCCCTCTCCCTCTCCCTCTCTCCCCCTCTCCCTCTCCCTCTCCCTCGTCCTCTCCCCTCCCTCTCCCTCCTCCCTCTCCCTCTCCCTCTCCCTCTCCCTCTCCTCTCCCTCTCCCTCTCCCTCTCCCTCTCCTCTCCCCTCTCCCTCTCCCTCTCCCTCGTCTCTCTGTGTCTGTCTCTCTCTGTCTGTATCTCTGTCTCTCTCTGTCTGTCTCTGTCTGTCTCTCTCTGTCTCTCTCTGTCTCTCTCTCTCTCTGTCTCTCTCTGTCTCTGTCTCTCTGTCTCTGTCTCTCTCTGTCTCTCTCTCTCTGTCTCTCTCTGTCTCTGTCTCTCTCTGTCTCTGTCTCTCTCTGTCTCTGTCTCTCTCTGTCTCTCTGTCTCTCTGTCTCTCTCTCTCTCTCTCCAGACGATTACAGAGCGTGGGAGCTTCAGAAGAGCCGCCTCTACAAGCCGGAGCGCGCGTACCAGCCCCCGACGGTGAAGTTCGGGAACCCCACCACCTTCCAGGAGGACTTCGTGCCCCGGGCCGCCCCGGGGCCCCGGCAGAGCTTCCGGCCGGCCGCCCCGGCCCCGGGCCCCGCCGCCGCCGCCCCGTTCCTCGGCCTCACCAGCCACCGCCTGGACTTCGTGCCCCACGCGCTCGGACCCCGGCCCGCGCCCGCGCGGCCCCGGCCCGCCCGCCGGCCCAGCCCCCAGCCCTTCCGGGACCAGACCTCGTACTCGGCCGACTTCGTCCCCAAGAAGCAGGAGGTCTGCCCGGCCAGCTACCTGTCCCCGCCGGGCTACGTCTTCCAGACAGCCAACTCCCGGGGCCACCGCTTCTTCCGCAAGGTCGCGCCCGCCTCCTCCTCCAGGCAGGCCTCCTAGATTGCGGGCCTCCGAGATTGCAGGCCTCCGAGCTTGCAAGCACGCTAAGAGGCTTACAAGGTCGCGCCTGCCACCTCCTCCAGGCAGGCCTCCTAGATTGCGGGCCTCCTAGATTGCGGGCCTCCGAGCTTGCAAGCACGCTGAGAAAGAGGCTTACAAGGTCGCGCCCGCCGCCTCCTCCAGGCAGGCCTCCTAGATTGCGGGCCTCCGAGCTTGCAAGCACGCTGAGAAAGAGGCTTACAAGGTCGCGCCCGCCTCCTCCTCCAGGCAGGCCTCCTAGATTGCGGGCCTCCTAGATTGCGGGCCTCCGAGCTTGCAAGCACGCTGAGAAAGAGGCTTACAAGGTCGCGCCCGCCTCCTCCTCCAGGCAGGCCTCCTAGATTGCAGGCCTCCTAGCTTGCAAGCACGCTGAGAAAAAGACTTACAAGGTCGCGCCTGCCTCCTCCTCCAGGCAGGCCTCCTAGATTGCGGGCCTCCGAGCTTGCAAGCACGCTGAGAAAGCGGCTTGCAAGGTCGCGCCCGCCGCCTCCTCCAGGCAGGCCTCCTAGATCGCAGGCCCCCGAGCTTGCAGGCCTCTTAAGCCTGCGGCACGCTGAGAAAGAGGCTTACAGAACCACCTGTTTATAGAGTCCGAGGGGGTGGGGGTGGGGGGTGGGAATGCACGAGAGCTCACGCACATGCTCGCCTGACGGTTTTCAATCAAGAAAACTGGAAACTTGCCCGGCAGATGTGGCTCAGTGGTTGAGCATCGACCCATGAACCAGGACATCACGGATTCGATTCCCCCCTCCTCCCCCCACATTCCCCAGGTGGCGGGCTGATCCCCAGGAGGGGGCGTGCAGGAGGCAGCCGATCCGTGATGCTCTCTCACCATGGATGTTTCTCTCGCTCTCCCTCTCTGAAATCAAGAACGATGTATTTTTTAAAATAAAACAAGCCCTGACTGGTGTGGCTCAATGGATAGAGTGTTGGCCTGCGGACTGAAGGGTCCCGGGTTCGATTCCAGCCGAGGGCATATATGCTTGGCTTGTGGGGCTTTATCCCCAGTTGGGGGGGGGGGGCGTGCAGGAGGCAGCAGATCCATGATTCTCTCTCATCATTGATATTTCTCTCTCTCTTTACCTCTCTTTTCCCCTGTGAAATCAATAAAAATCTATTTTAAAAAAGTAAAATACAACAAACCATGACCGGTGTGGTTCAATGGATAGAGCGAGCTCGGCTATGGACTGAAGGGTCCCGGGTTTGATTCCAGTCGAGGGCATGGACCTTGGTTGCGGGCACATCCCCGGTAGGGGGTGTGCAAGAGGCAGCTGGTGGATGTTTCTCTCTCATCGATGTGTCTGACTCTCTATCCCTCTCCCTTCCTCTCTGTGAAAAATCAATAAGAATATATTTTAAAAAGTAAAATAAAATACACTGAGTGCCCCTGACTGGTGTGGCTCAATGGATAGAGCGTCGGCCTGCAGACTCAAGGGTCCAGGGTTCGATTCCGGTCAAGGGCATGGACCTTGGTTGCAAGCACATCCCCAGTGAGGGGCATGTAGGAGGCAGCTCATCGATGTTTCTAACTCTCTATCCCTCTCCCTTCCTCTTTGTAAACAATCAATAAAATATATATACAATATATATATATAAAATCAGCCTGCTCTGTCGGGTCAAACACCTCTTTAACTCACCGCGAATGCCTTGGCAGGGTCAGACCTCAGGACCTTGTGGGTCCCCCACCCTAAGGCTTCACAGACTCCCGAATCCTCAGAGAGAACCCAGAGCTTCAACTGGAGGGAGGAACGGCGTTGGAGTGACAGCCCCGTTTCCGGACCGGAAAGCTCACTGGCTAGTGCCGTCTCAGGAATGATGGGCAGTTCTGCATGGTCCCCTCAGGGAGTTACACCCCAAGCGCCATGCCCAGGAGTCCCCGAAGAACTGGGCTCCGTGGGGGGCCTCCCTGTCCCCCCACCCCCACCCTCGGGACCTGGGCAGAACATAACCACATCTAGACGTGCCGAGATCTAGTGAGTGACACAAACCGTGCGTGTGGTTTTTGAGAAACGATTGCATTATGGGAGTGTAGGATGCATCGTAATGGTTAGTCTTTTTTTTTTTTTTTTCTTTTTCTTTTCTCTTTTCGACGTTTAGTCTTTTGTAACGTTCGATTTGTTTCAGGCCAGTGGTCGGCAAACTCATTCGTCCACAGAGCCAAATATCGACAGTATGACGATTGAAATCTCTTCTGAGAGCCATTTTTTTAAAAACTTAAACTATATAGCCGAAACTGGTTTGGCTCAGTGGATAGAGCATCAGCCTGCGGACTGAAAGGTCCCGGGTTCGATTCCGGCCAAGGGCATGTACCTTGGTTGCGGGCACATCCCCGGTAGGGGGTGTGCAAGAGGCAGCTGGTCGATGTTTCTCTCTCATCGATGTTTCTCTCTATCCCTCTGTAAAAAATCAGTAGAATATATATATTTTTTAAAATAAACTTAACCTATATAGGTAGGTACATGGTTATTCACCAAATGAAGGTACTCCTGAGCTGGCCTTGGCCAAAAACTCAAGGGGCCAAAGAGCCGCCTGTGGCTCTCGAGCCGCGGTTTGCCGACCACAGGTGTCAGCCCATAGATGGCATTGAAAAGGAGCCCGCGGGCTTAAACTATTGTTAATTATCTGAAAGTCGCTCGTTCACGTACTGTTGTTCTGGTTCATTAAAATGGGGACAATGTAAGGTTCTATATGTCTGTGAAACAATAATCGAGCATCAATAAAAGAAAGGAATATTTCAGGAAGTTGTTTTTGTACCCATTTTTTTTTTCCGGAAACAGAGCTTCTCATAAAGTCCTATCAGGTTAACCTGTACACGATTCTATATTCTTACCTTTTTAACAGAAAATATCATAATATACTCAGCCTGGAGGCCTGAGGTTGGATCCCGGTCAAGGGCATGTACCTGGGTTGCAAGCTCCTCCTGGTCGGGGCGTGTGCAGGAGGCAACCCATCGATATGTTTCTCTCTGTGTCTCTCCCTCTGCTTTCCACTCTCTAAAAGTCACTGGAAACATATCCTTGGGTGAGGATTCACAACAACAAACATAAAATAAAAATCATGTTTAAAAGTTAAAAAAAAAAAAAAAAAGGAAGATGAATGCACGTTTGGGACATTGGAGGTGTGTAACACAGCCTCAAAATGACTGCGAAACGAGCCCGGCTGGCTTGGCTCAGTGGTGAGCGTCGACCTAGGAACCAGGAGGTCAGGGGTTCGATTCCCAGTCAAGGGCACAGGCCCGGGTTGCGGGCTCCATCCCCAGTATGAGGCGTGCAGGAGGCAGCCGATCCATGATTCTCTCTCATCATCGATGTTTCTCTCTCCTTTCCTCTCTGAAATCAAAACACACACACACACACACACACACACACACACACACACACGAAGGCAGCCACTGCAAAAGGTCCCCAGGCTACCACAACCAAAACCCATGACGCCAATAAGCCTCCGGCATCGGTAAGGATGCCGCTGAGTCATAGAAGTTCATTTATTTCCAAGTTTCTCCTGGATTGCCAAAGAGAGGCCTCCTCCTGCTGCAGGAGCAGCCATAAAACTCAGCACACAGCCGAAAGTGGGGTTGCTCAGTGGATAGAGCGTCGGCCTGCGGACTGAAGGGTCCCGGGTTCGATTCTGGTCAAGGACATGGACCTTGGTTGCGGGCACATCCCCAGTAGGGGTCGTGCAGGAGGCAGCTGATGGATGTTTCTCTCTCATCAATGTTTCTAACTCTCTCTCTCTCTCCCTTCCTCTCTGTAAAAAATCAATAAAATATATTTTTAAAAAAATACAGCATGCAGGAATGTCCTTGGAATGACGAGAAATACATATACCACCACAGCTGATGGGAAAGAGCAACTTTATAGACAGGGGGAGCTGGTAAGACAGTTTTGTTACTCAGATATATATTTTAAAAACAACATACCGTATTTTCCGGCGTATAAGACAACCCCCCTAATTTTTACAGTTAAAAAATAGGTTTAGGCCTATATTCGCTGTATAAAAGACTACCCCCCACTTCAAAGAAAAGACTTACTTTGCCGTCAAGATCTGCAGGTAATTTTTGTGCAAATTTTGGTCTTTTGCCCCCGATTTTCGGTTGACTTTTTTTCGTTTCAAAGGCTGTCTTTCTTACACACTGTACATCATAAAATACCGCAGCTCTGAGTCCCAGAAGCAGTATTTACAGAGTATGGTACACACGGTTGCTCTTTGAACGTAAGAACCTTCAATCAGCGCCCGGCCGGCCGGTGTAGCTCCGTGGTGGAGCATCAGCTCGGGAACCAGGAGGTCCCGGGTTCGATTCCCGGTCAAGGGGCCCATGCCCCAGGGCGGCAGGCTCCATCCCCAGGGTGGGGCGTGCAGGAGGCTGCTGATGGAGATCAAGGATTCTCTCCCTAGTTGGTGTGGCTCAGTGGATAGAGCCTAAGACTGCAGACGGAAGGGTCCTGGGTTCGATTCCCAGATCAGGGGGTGTGCAGGAGGCAGCCGATCCGTGATTACCTCTCATCATGGATGTTTCTAACTCTCTAGCCCTCTCCCTTCCTCTCTGTAAAAAATCAATAATATATCAATATATATATATATATTTTTCTTTTTTTTTTACAGTCAGCTTTCATCTGGCTCTGTGGTTGAGCATCGACCTATGAACCAGGAAGTCCTGGTTTGATTTCCGGTCAGGGCACCTGCCCAGATCCCCAGTAGGGGGCGTGCAGGAGGCAGCTGACGGGAGATTCTCATCATTGATGTTTCTCTCTCTCTTCTTCTCTGAAATCAATAAAGATATATATTTTTAAAATTTTAGCTTTTGCCCAACCTCGTGGCTCCGTTAGCTGTCGGGTTCACAGAACGGTGGCCGGTTTGATTCCTGGTCAGGGCCATGTCTAGATTTCGAGTTTGGTCCCCAGTTGGGGCGCATGCGAGAGGCATCCAATTGGTTTAGTCCCTCACATCGGTGTCTCTCATTCTCTCTCTCTCTCTCTCATCAACAACTGTATTCTTGATGGAGGATTCAAAAACAAAACCAGCTTTAGGAGTCATAAATTAATGCCAGTCCCACATCACGTCAGTAGCAAGTCAACATCCACCCTGCCATTGTCACTAGCCCCAGCCTTCGCCTCCATCTAAACCCAACACCCGCCGAAACCGGTGTGGCTCAGTGGACAGAGCGCCGGTCTGTGAACTGAAGGGTCCCGGGTTCGATTCCCGTCAAGGGCATGTACCTTGGTTGTGGGCACGTCACCGGGGGGGGGGGGGGGGGGGGGAGGGGAGCGTGCAGGAGGCAGCTGGTCTATGATACTCTCTCATCAGTGTTTCTAGCTCTCTATCCCTTTCCCTTCGTCTCTGTATAAAATCAATAAAATATATATATTTTTAAAATAAAATAAACTCAACTTCCGCCTCACCAGGCCCTCCCCCGAAGTCCCACAGCCAATGCCAGCCAGCTTGCACCCTAACTCAGCTCCCATCCTCACCCACCCCGATCCTAGGGCTGAAACCCCATCTTCCACGGGTTCACCCCAACCCCCTCCCACACACGAACCCCCGTCCTGACTGAACCCTCATTCACACTGGACGCCCAGAAACACCAATTCCAATGAAAAAAACAATCATTGACTATCAATGATTCCCCGACCCCCCCGCACCCCCAAGCCATCCTAATTCGATAACTTTATCATTTCCCCCCCAATGAAAACCCTCAGGAATTTCACGTTCTGCATACATTCGGTCTTCTAAGGCTTTGGTTCCCCCAGCCCCCCCGCCATTGTGTGCAAGAATGTAGTGCTGGGGGGTTGGGGGGATTGCATTCACCGCCCTCAGGATGTGCGTGAACTTAATTCAAAATCAGTAGAAATGCGTCCCCTCCTCCTTTGATCTCCAAGATGCAGCGTGCCGTCACAGAATACATCTCCGTCCGAGAGCGAGGACAGTCCTTGGGGCCTGGCCGGCGTGACCCCGTCTCTGTTCACAGACTCCACGCCAGGATCCGCACAGACGATGTCAACGCCAACATAGCCACAAGCACTGACCGCAGTTCATCACCTGCAGATGTCCAACGCGCCTGCCGACGCCCTGACTCTGGAGAGAAGGGGAAGCCCTGGGTCCCGGTGTCTCCCTGAGCCTTGAGTACACCAGCCTCGCCTTGCCTCATGGACCCAGCGGTCGGTCCCGGGTTCGATTCCCGGTCGGTGGGGGCACACCCCCGGGAGCAGCCGAGGGGGACGGGCTGGACTGGTATCTCTCGGACCGACTCGGCTGGAAGGACCACGGCCGTGGGAAACGATGGCACCGAATGTTAGCAGCGGTGACTGGTCACGGGCCTGGGTTTTCACGGCAGAATCGGGAGCTTTGTGGGTTTTTGTTTTTTAAAGAAATACATATTTTGGCACAGCAGGTGTGGCTCAGCGGTTGAGCATCGACCTAGGAACCAGGAGGTCTCGGTTCGATTCCCGGTCAGGGCACAGGCCCGGGATCCCCAGTGTGGGGCGCGCAGGAGGCAGCCGCCGGCCCAAGATTCTCTCTCTCCTCATGGATGTTTCTCTCTCTCTCCCTCTCCCTGCCTCTCTGAAATCAATACAAATCTTTTTTTTTTTTTTTTTTTTGTAAGTTAACTATGGTGACTGCACATCGGCCTGCATCGGACGGCGGAATTTAGAGGTTTGTGCCTTTTTAAAGAAATCCGTGGAGTTTTTTTTTAACCACCGACTCGGGCGAGGCACCGGCTCTGACGTCCCTGTTTGTTTGCCTCGGCAGCATCGGACGCGCGCCTGCCGCGAGGTAACCCGCGAGGCACGGCCGGGGGCGCCTCTCCCCGCAGGGGCCCAGCGCGCAGACACAGGTGCTTCACACGCGTGCAGTAGCCAGCGGCGTCTGTGCGGGTTCCTGCAGACAGGACGACAAGACCAACATGTAAAACCACATGCATGGGACACACCACTTGTGAGAAACCGGGTTAAAAAACAACGGATTCGTCCGGCTGCCGTGGCTCAGGGGCTGAGCGTCCACCTGGGAACCAAGAGGTCAGGGTTCGATTCCCGGTCAAGGGCACAGGCCCGGGTTGCAGGCTCCATCTCCAGTGGGGGGCGTGCAGGAGGCAGTTGATCCGTGATTCTCTCTCATCATGGATGTTTCTCTCTCCCTCTCTCTTCCTCTCTGAAATCAATAAAAATACAATTTAAAAAAAATATATATTTTATTGATTTTGTACAGAGAGGAAGGGAGAGAGATAGAGAGTCAGAAACATCGATGAGAGAGAGAGTCATCGATCAGCTGCCTCTTGCACACCCCTACTGGGGATGTGCCCGCAACTAAGGTACGTGCCCCTGACGGGAATCAAACCCGGGACCCTTCAGTCCCCAAGCCGACGCTCTATCCACTGAGCCACACCGGTCTCGACTAAAAATACGATTTTATTTATTTATTTATTTTTTAAAAGAACACAGACCTAGCCGGTGTGGCTCAGTGGATAGAGCGCTGGCCTGGGGACCAAAGGATCCTGGGTTCGATTCCGGTCAAGGCCAGGTACCTCGGTAGAAGGCTCCTCCCCAGCCTGGGCCCTGGTAATGCGCATGCAGGAGGCAGCCCATCGCTGTGTCTCTCTCACACCGATGTTTCTGTCTCTCCCTCTCTCTTCCGCTCTCTCCGAAAAAATCAACGGGAACATATCTCAGGTGAGGATTAACCAAAACCAAACAAATTAAAAAAAAAACGCATATGCCGAAACCCATGTGGCTCAGTGGATAGAGCGTCGGCCTGCGGACCGAAGGGTCCCGGGTTCGATTCCGGTCAGGGGCATGGACCTTGGTTGCGGGCACATCCCCAGAAGGAGGTGTGCAGGAGGCAGCTGGTCGATGTTTCTCTCGCATCGATGTTTCTAGCTCTCTCCCCCTCTCCCTTCCACTCTGTAACAATTCAATAAAATATATCTTTAAAACACACACACACACACACACACACACAAAAACAAAACAAAACCCCATAAAGCGCACCGAGTTGCACCCATCCAAGCAGCCCATCTCTGCATGTCCCCAGATCCCACTTTCCTTCCCGCGAGGCCTCCGCCCTGACCCAGACCAGGTCGGCCCCGTGAGGGCCTGGTTGGGCGGGGTTTGGGGGGGGGGGGCAGTCCTGACCTGGGAGGGGTGTGCAGGGTCGCAGGAGGGCCCCGCACAGGGCCGCCAGGACGCCGGCCTCCGGCTCTGCGGGCAGTGCCCCTCGGCCAGCGGCGCGCAGCTGCTGGCGTGCACACAGTCCACCCGGCGGGCCTGGACGCCCGGGCCGCAGGCCGCCGAGCAGGGCCGCCAGGGGCCGGGGCGCCAGCAGGCGGCACAGGCCCCCGCCGCCCCCGCCACGGCGGCCGAGCAGTTCCTCCCGGAGGCGGGCCTGAAGCGGAAACAAAAACAAAACAAAACAAAACGTGAAACACTGAAACGGAGGTGTCACTTCTTGCTGGGATCAACCCTTTCATGGCACTACAATTTCTTTTCTTTAAAAAAAAATTTTTTAAAAAATATATATTTTATTGATTTTTTAGAAAGAGGAAGGGAGAGGGATAGAGAGCTAGAAACGTCGATGAGAGAGAAACATGGACCAGCTGCCTCCTGCACACCCCCTACCCGGGATGTGCCCGCAACCAAGATCCATGCCCTTGACCGGAATCGAACCCGGGACCTTTCAGTCCGCAGACCGACGCTCTACCACTGAGCCAAACCGGTTTCGGCTTAAATTTATTTTTACCAGAGGCCTGGTGCACAAAATCCGTGCACCATTGGGGTCCCGTGGCCTGGCCTGTGCCCTCTCACAATCCGGGATCCCTTGGGGAATAGGAGAGCCGGTTTTGGCCTCTCCTGCAGGCCAGGCCTCTAGTATTCTATAAGGAGTGTTGAAACTGCAGGGGAAATGTGATAAGATAAAGGAAATGGTGATAACCCCAACTTTTCTAAGGGAAAATAACAGTACATCGTTGGGTGCAATACCTGGATCAGCCAGTAGGGGGGAGCGTCCGTCAAAGGGTTTTATATCCTACTGTCAACAGGTTTTGTTTTGTTTCAACGTATTTTTATGGATGTCAGAGAGGAAGGGGGAGGGAGAGAGAAAAAAAATATCCACGATGAGAGAGAATCATGGATCGGCTGCCTCCTGCACGCCCCACACTGGATGGAGCCCCAAACCCTGGGAATGTGCCCTGACCGGGAATCAAACCCTGACCTCCCGGTTCACAGGCCAGCACTCCACCACGGGGCCACACCGGCCGGACACAACAAACTGTTTATAGAATTTACAAGGGGGAGCTGCAGCGGAGGGAGCCTGCTAACCACACAGATTTTTTTAAATTTATTATATTTTAATTGATTTCAGAAAAGAAAGGGGTGGGGAAAGAGAAACGTCCATGATGAGAGAGAATCATGGATCAGCTGCCTCCTGCACGCCCCGCACTGGGGGTCGAGCCAACCGCCCAGACGTGTGTCCTAGACCGGAATCAAACCCGGGACCCTTCGGGCTGCAGGCGGGCGCTCTATCCACTGAGCCACACCGGTCATGTAGTATCTAAACCACATGTGTCAAACACAAGGCCCGCGGGCCAAATCCGTCCCGCCAGGCCTTGCAATGTGGCCCGCACCGCGCTGTCCTCACTGCACTCCGCTGCGTTTCCATCACAATGACAGTTTATGACTGTTCAGTAAACCATTCGGCCCGCGATTTAGGCTGGATTTTAGATTTTGGCCCCTTCTCTGATTGAGTTCGACACCCCTAATCTAAACGAATAGGGCAGTCCACTCATTTCCTCATCTAAAACCTGTCCTATGTGAATATGAGCTGTGCCGAAACTGGTGTTATCATCATTGATGTTTCTTTTCTTTTAAAAAAAAATATATTTTATTGATCTTTTACAGAGAGGAAGAGAGAAGGATAGAGAGTTAGAAACAATGATGAGAGAGAATCATTGATCAGCTGCCTCCTGCACACCCCCTACTGGGGATGTGCCCGCAACCGAGGTCCATGCCCTTGACTGCAATCGAACCCGGGACCTTTCAGTCCGCAGACCGACGCTCTATCCACTGAGCCAAACCGGTTTCGGCATCGTTGATGTTTCTAACGGTCTATCCCTCTCCCTTCCTCTCTGTAAAAAAATCAATACAACATAGTTAAAAAAATATACATACATATGTGGCGTGGTGCACGAAATTCATGCATTGGGGCGGGGGGGGGGGGCGGGAGGGGGTGTCCCTCAGCCCGGCCTGCACCCTCTCCAATCTGGGACCCCTCAGGGGATGTCCAACTGCCCGTGTAGGCCCTGCCAGACGCTGACTTGAAGCGTCTGTGTGTGTCACGTCCCTCACAATGGAAGGAGGGGTCGTGCAGCCCGATTACACAGCATCCACGGGGTCGCGTGTCTGAAGCGGGGATGGGGGTGGGATGTGGATCATGTATACGTCCAAGAAGCATGCTCCCGGAAAGCATGGCTGGTATGCCAGAGACCCCCGCTCCCCCCACCCCCCTGCCCCGCCCCCCCCCCACGCTTTGGGTTTGGGTTATAAATCTTGGAAAACGCGATGAAAAACATCTGCCAGGCACACATCCATCTGTGTGTGGTCCCCATCTTCCCGGCCACACAGGAAATGGGGGTGTCTGTTGAGAAAGGGGCGGGGGTGAGGGGGAGACGGTTCTGGCTGCAGTAACGGTGGGTGGGGAACAGGAATTGGGCCAGCTGTGCGAGGCCAAGCCTTGGGGAAGGCTCGGGCTGGTCCTGGAGCCCAGGGTCAAGGTCGTCTCGTTTTCTCCAGCAAGAAAACCTCCATGGGGTCCTACCTACCGGGTGTGGCTCAGGGGACAGAGCATCGGCCTGTGGACTGAAGGGTCCCGGGTTCGATTCCGGTCAAGGGCACTTGCCCAGGTTGTGGGCTCGATCCCCAGTGGGGGCGTGCAGGAGGCAGCCGACCCATGATTCTCTCTCATCGTGGATGTTTCTCTTTCTCTCTTTCTCTCTCCCTCTCTCCCTCTCTCTCTCCCCCTCTTCCTTCCTCTCTGAGGTCAATAAAAATATATCTGAAACCCACAAAAAAAAAATGATGTGCATGCATCTATCCCTATTTCAGCATAACACATATTATTAAGAACTAGTGGCGTGGTGCACGAAATTCATGCATTGGGGCGGGGGGGGGGCCGGGAGGGGGTGTCCCTCAGCCCGGCCTGCACCCTCTCCAATCTGGGACCCCTCAGGGGATGTCCAACTGCCCGTGTAGGCCCGATCCCTGTAAACCAGCTGTCCGACATCCCTCTTGCAATCCGGGACCGCTGGCTCCTAACTGCTCACCTGCCTATCTGCCTGATTGCCCCTAACTACAACCTCCCCCCCCCCCCCCCCTACTGCCGGCCTTCTCATCCCCAAATGCCGCCGCCCCCCCCCCCCGGGTTGGCCTGGTTGCCCCCAACTGGCCCCCCTGCCTGGCCTACTCGCCCCCAAATGCCCACCCCCACCCCCTGCCCACATGATCACCTCCAACTGCCCTTCCCTCTGGCCTGATAGCCCCTAACTGCCTCTGCTCAACTGTGCCACGTGGCTTTGTCGGTAAGGTCTCCTGATCCAATTAGCACATCACCCTTTTGCTAGTGTCGCTGTCACTACGGGAGATGACGGTTCACTAGCAGTCGGCAGTGACGGGAGGGGACAGACGGGTGACCGTCACCTTCGGGGGGGGGGGGGCGCCGTACCTCCTGTCTTCACAGCGGGGGTCGGAGCTGTTGTGTGGACAGAGGCCGGGACGCGGCTGTGTCCTCACGGGGCCGCCCAGGCAGCGTCGGGGACACTGGAACGAAGCACAGGGCGGTGAGCTGGAGCAGCTGCTGCGCCCAGGCCAGAAGGGGGCGGTGCCCGAACCACTCCGCCGGCGACGACCTTGACCTCGAACCCCTGACCTCTGGGGCTGAGCGCAGACCAGTGTCTGCAGGCGAAGGGGCTCCGTCTGTCCTATGCTGCTATGGCAACCCTAGCAGGCCACACTTCAGGCCTCTACCCGTTATTTTAAACATTTTTTGGGGCAAAGATTTCTATCATAATATTGCCCGGCTGGCGTGGCTTCGTGGTTGAGCCTGGACCTGGGAGCCAGGAGGTCAGGGTTCGATTCCCGGTCAGGGCACAGGCCCGGGTGGCAGGCTCCATCCCCAGTGGGGGGCGTGCAGGAGGCAGCCGGTCCGGGTTTCTCTCTCATCATGGACGTTTCTCTCTCCCCCTCTCTCTCTCCTCTCTGAAATCAATAAAATAAAAAAATAAAAAACCTATGAGGTGTGGCTCAGTGGATAGAGCGTTGGCCTGTGGACGGAAGGGTGCCGGGTTCGATTCCGGTCACGGCACGTAGCACGGTTGCAGGCCCTGGTCGGGGTGCGGGCAGGAGGCAACCCATCGATGTGCCTCTCTCCCATCGATGTTTCTCTCTGTCTCTCCCTCTCTCTTTCACGCTCCCCAAAAAATCAATAATGAAAAAATACCCTCGGGCGGGGGTATTAACAAATAATAATGATAATGATAAGTAATAAAATGGTCATTACAAAGTTACAGACCTGGATCAGAGGCTTACAAAAAGAAAGAAAAAAAGGAACAAAGATCTTCTAGAGCCCTGGGCAGTGTGGCTCAGTGGATAGAGCATTGGCCTACGGACTGAGGGTCCTGGGTTCGATTCCCAGTCCAGGGCACAGGCCTGGATTGGGGGCTCGATCCCCAGTGGGGGGCCTGCAGGAGGCAGCCGACCCATGCTTCTCTCTCATCATGGATGTTTCTCTTTCTCCTTCTCCCTTCCCCTCTGGCATCAATCTCTATATATAAAAGCCTAAGTGAGCATCATAAGTGGATGGATGACCGAATGGGCTGTGTGGGACAGCCAGACTGGCAGGGGGGTGACCAAACAACTGAACAGCAGGCTGTGTGGGGCAACCAGGCTGGCAGGTGTGTGTGTGTGTGTGTGTGTGTGTGTGTGTGGTGACCAGGCCAGCAGGGGGCAGTTGGTGACAACCATGCCAGCGGGGGGAGGCAGCAGTAAGAGGCGACCAGGCCAGTGGGTGGGGTGGGAGGGCAGTAAGAGGCGACCAGGCCAGTGGGGTGGGGAGGACAGTTAGGAGTGACCAGGCCAGTATTGGGGGCAGTTAGGGGCAATCAGGCCAGCAGCTGAGGCAGTGAGGGGTGATCAGGCCGGCGGGGGGTGGGGGGGGTGGGAGTAGTTGGGGGTGACCAGGCTGGCATCGGGGGCAGTTGGGCAATCAGGCCAGCACTCAAAGGCACGCAGGGCGATTAGGCCGGCCGGCGGGGGTGAGGGGGAGCAGTTAGGGGCTATATCAGACTGGCAGGCAGGCAGGCAAGCAGTTAGGAGCCAGCGGTCCTGCCTTGTGGGAGGGATGTCCAACTACCAGTCTAGGACATCCTCCCCCCCGACCCCCCAGCAGCCGGACATCCCTCTAGGGGTCCCAGATCCGGGAGGGAGCAGGCTGGGCTGAGGGGAGCCCCCTCCCCTCCAACTATGGCGCCAGGAGCACCGTGGGAACCGGGCTGTGGAGGCCTCCTCACCTGGCCCGCCAGCTCCGCGGTGCACGGGCGGCCGGAACATGGGCTTCTCCCCGGAGGCCGGTCGTCGGGGTCGCAGGCTCCAGGGGGCAGCTCCCCGGCCGCGCCGCCAGCCTCGGCCTCGCGGGGGCGCTGGCACGTCACCCGCCGGACGCGGGAGCCCGCCCCGCAGGAGGCGGAGCACTCGGACCATGGGCTGGCGAACCACCTGTGGACGGAAACCCGTTAGCTCTGCGGGGATCGGCCATCCCCCGTCGGATTTGGGGGGGAGGGGGGCTCCCTACGGGTGCGCCAGCCCATGCCTCCAGGGGCAGGACCAGCCCTCAGGGGACGCCTGCCTTATTGCAAGACTAGCGGGCGGGGGGGGGGGGCAGTAAGAGGGGCCTGGCTGGTGCTGTTCAGTGGTTAGCGTCGACCAGGGAACCAGGAGGTCAGGTTCCTTATGTTCAGGGGGCCACCCCCCTCCCCCCAGCTGTCCCGCTGTGGCCCCAGAAGACAGAGCGAGGGCAATACTGTGTTTTTCTCTCATTTTGATGTTTTTCTCTCTCTCAATCGGTTTCTCTCTCATTTAAAAAAAATATATATATTTTATTGATTTTTTTTTTTACAGAGAGGAAGGAAGAGGGATAGAAAGCTAGAAACATCGATGAGAGAGAAACATCGATCAGCTGCCTCTTGCACACCGGCTACTGGGGATGTGTCCGCAACCAAGGTCCATGCCCTTGACCGGAATCGAACCCGGGACCCCTCAGTCCACAGGCCGATGCTCTATCCACTGAACCACACCGGTTTCGGCGGTTTCTCTCTCAGTTTGATGTTTCTCTCTCTCAATCCATCTTTTTTCCTCTCTCTAAAATCAATAAAAATATATATATTTTTTAAAATGCTTACTTTATGCTGAAACCGGTTTGGTTCAGTGGTTAGAGCGTTGGCCTGTGGACTGAAAGGTCCCGGGTTCGATTCCGGTCAAGGGCATGTACCTTGATTGCGGGCACATCCCCAGTGGGGGGTGTGCAGGAGGCAGCTGATCGATGTTTCTCTCTCATCGATGTTTCTAACTCTGTCCCTCTCTCTCCCTCTCTGTAAAAAATCAATAAAATATATATTTTTAAAAATTCTTACTTTAGTAAAAGTCACTACGTTCCTATGTTATATACGTGTGAAGGTGAATGCTAACGATGAACCATTACTTGAAAGAGTATGTTCTGTATACCCTTGCATAAACACACTTTTTTTATTATTTTTTTTTTACTGCAGGTAACCAAAAGATCAGATGAGTTTTTAAAAACGTGTCCAAGCAGATTTCAACTCCTCAAAGAGGAGAAAAAAATATTGCATTTGAATCCTCCCCCCGAGGATATTTTTCCCATTGATTTTCAGGGAGAGTGGAAGGGAGGGAGGGAGACAGAGAGACACGTCAACATGAGAGATGCGTCGATCGGCTGCCTCCTGCACGTGCCCCGACCAGGGCCGGGAATCGAACCTGGGACCCTTCAGTCCGCAGGCTGATGCTCTATCCACTGAGCCACACTGGCCAGGGCTTTCCATTCTTTGTGGGAGGCAGCCAGCCCCCATGTGCTCTTGGTCCTGTGAACCACGATGCCAGCAGCCTTGGGACTGGGCGCGAGGCTGGCCTGACCCTAAAGGTCGCACTTTTGTAAAAATTCATTTTATATTTCTAAAAATATATTTTTTATTGATGTCAGAGCGGGAGAGGGAGAGGGAGAGAGAATCACGGATTGGCTGCCTCCTGCACGCCCCCCCCATTGGGGATGGAGCCCGCAACCCAGGAGTGGGCCCTGACCTGGTTCCCAGGTCGATGCTAACCACTGAGCAGCACCAGCCGGGCCCCGCTAAAGGAGTCCAGGTTGTGGGGCCTTGGGAACCAGCAGATGGCCGGCCGGCCGGGGCAGGGCCGTGGCCGCACGTACCTGGGGGGGCAGTCCCGGCGGGGACAGGGCTGGGGGCGGGCAGGCGGCCTTGGGAGGTGCCGGCACAGGGCCGCGCTCACATCCTGCCCGCCGGCCACGCACCGGAGCCTCCGGACACGGGTTCCTGGGCGGCCGCAGGCCGCGCGACACGGCGTCCAGTTCCCCAGTCTCCACGCCGGCTCTGTGGGGGGCAAGGATGGGGAGTGATGCTGCAGGCAGGCGGGGCCGGGGTCCCCCCAGCTGTTCCCCAGAGACCTGGACCCCCCCCCCCAGCTGTCCCACTGAGAGGCCTGGACTCCCCCCAGCTGTTCCACTGAGAGGTGTGACCCCCCCCCAGCTGTTCCACTGAGAGGCCTGGACCCCCTCCCCCAGCTGTCCCACTGAGAGGCCTGGACCCCCTCCCCCAGCTGTCCCACTGAGAGGCCTGGACCCCCCCCCCCCAGCTGTCCCACTGAGAGGCCTGGACCCCCCCCCCCCCAGCTGTCCCACTGAGAGGCCTGGACTCCCCCCAGCTGTTCCACTGAGAGGCCTGGACACACCCCCCAGCTGTTCCACTGAGAGGTGTGACCCCCCCCCCAGCTGTTCCACTGAGAGGCCTGGACCCCCCCAGCTGTCCCACTGAGAACCCTGGACACCCCCCCCCCCCCCCAGCTGTCTCACTGAGAGGCCTGGACTGGACCCTCCCCCAGCTGTTCCACTGAGAGGTGTGGACCCCCCCAGCTGCCCCACTGAGAGGCCTGGACCCTCCCCCAGCTGTTCCACTGAGAGGCCTGGACCCTCCCCCAGCTGCCCCACTGAGAGGCCTGGACCCCCCAGCTGTCCCACTGAGAGCCCTGGCCCCCCCCAGCTGTCCCACTGAGAGGCCTGGACCCCCCAGCTGTCCCACTGAGAAGCCTGGCCCCCACCCCAGCTGTCCCCTGAGCGAACTGGACACCCCCCCCCCCCAGCTGTCCCAGTGCGTGGCCTGTCTGTGCTGTGTGCACAGACGTCCCAGAGTGCAAAGGGGTCCTTTACTTTTACTTTGACTGAATTAATGCATTCGTTCTTCGCTGTGTTTACTGTACTTACCGTAAACACTTCCTGATTGTTGGGAGTGTGACGTGTCCCCACTTCCCCCCGCTTCCCCCTACAACGGGGTCCTTTCACCTCTCTCCCCTCCACGAACCAGTGGGAATGGCCAGTGGGAATGCCGCCAGGATGGGCCCTGGGACCCCAGCCCAGGAGAGGGGCCACTGCAGGCCAGAGGGACCCGCCAGGATCCTCCTCATGGGGAGGGGGAGGGGGGGAGCCTCCACAGAGTCCCCAGCGGGCCAGTGAGGGTTGGAGAGAGACAGAGAGAGAGATACACACATACACAGAGACAGAGACATCGAGAGACACATACAGAGACAGAGAGAGAGAGAGAGAGAGAAGAGCAGCCCTTAGTTCACAGTGAAAACCATCGCACGCCCATCTCCTTTACCCCTCAGCGCCATCACCCTCACCGGGTGCCCTGTGGGCGGGGAGGCCCCGGAGCCCAGCCGGGGGGACACTTACCCAGCAGGTGCAGGACGGAGGCGGCCGCGGCCTTGCCCAGGGCGCTGGCGGCCCGGCAGACGTAGGTGCCTCTGTCCTGCCGGGAGACGCTTCGCAGCCACAGGGACCCGTCGGGGAGGACCGAGGCGCTGCCCCCCAGCGGCCCGCCCCGCTTCTCCCAGCTCGCCGCGGGCCGGGGCGCGCCTGCGGAGGGAAGCACATAGCAGCCGCGGCCCCTGGCAACCAAGGCACATGCCCCTGACCGGAATCGAACCCGGGACCTCTCAGTCCGCAGGCCGACGCGCTATCCACTGAGCCACACCGGTTTCTGCTACAGGATTATTTTTTTAAATATATATTTTATTGATTTTATACAGAGAGGAAGGGGGAAGAGATAGAAACATCGATGAGAGAGAGTCATCGATCAGCCACCTCTTGCACACCCCCTACTGGGGATGTGCCCGCAACCAAGGTACATGCCCTTTGACCGGAATCGAACCCGGGACCCTTCAGTCCCCAAGCCGATGCTCTATCCATTGAGCCACACCGGTTTCTGCTACAGGATTATTTTTTTAAATATATATTTTATTGATTTTATACAGAGAGGAAGGGGGAAGAGATAGAAACATCGATGAGAGAGAGTCATCGATCAGCCACCTCTTGCACACCCCCTACTGGGGATGTGCCCGCAACCAAGGCACATGCCCTTTGACCGGAATCGAACCCGGGACCCTTCAGTCCCCAAGCCGATGCTCTATCCATTGAGCCACACCGGTTTCTGCTACAGGATTATTTTTTTAAATATATATTTTATTGATTTCAGGGAGGAAGGGAGAGAGGAAGAGAGAGAAACATCCACCATGAGAGAGAATCACGGATCGGCTGCCCCCTGCACGCCCCCTACTGGGGATGGAGCCTGCAACCCGGGCATGGGCCCTTGACCGGGAATCGAACCCGGTACCTTTTGGTCCGCAGGCTGACGCTCTATCCACTGAGTCACACCGGCCAGGGCTGGACAATCAAGTGTTTAAGGACGGCCGGGGTGTCTCCAGCCCACAGCCCACGGGCCCTCTCCTGGCCAGCGGCCACACGTACCTCGGACGGGACACTGGATGGTCACGTTGGTTCCCAGGAGTGCCCTCACGGTGCCCCCGACCACGACAGACAGCGGGCCGGGGTCCCGCCAGCTGACGTTGCTCCCCGCCACCAAGATGACCGGCGCCTCTTCGTTCAAAGGGAACAGAAATCGTGTTAGCTCAGTTTTTAGTGTTTTTTTTATAAAATCATTTTTACTGACTTCAGAGAGAAAGGGAGAGGGATAGAGTCTCAGAAACATCGATGAGAGAGAAACATCCATCAGCCGCCGCCTGCACGCCCCCCACTGGGGATGTGCCCGCAACCAAGGCACATGCCTTTGACTGGAATCGAACCTGGAACCCTTCAGTCCGCAGGCCGACGCTCTATCCACTGAGACAAACTGGTTAGGGCTGTGTGTGTGTGTCTTTGTTTGTGTGTCTTTGTGTCTGTCTGTCTGAAATGTGACCCCAACCATTCTTGGGCCACCCCACTTTCCCTTAAGACTCTATAGGTTAGCCCCAACTGGTGTGGCTCAGTGGATAGAGCGTCGGCCTGCGGACTGAAGGGTCCCAGGTTCGGTTCTGGTCAAGGGCATGGACCTTGGTTGTGGGCACATCCCCAGGTGGGGGGTGTGCAGGAGGCAGCTGATGGATGTTTCTCTCCCATCGATGTTTCTGACTCTCCCTCTCCCTTCCTCTCCGTAAAAAATCAATAAAAAATATATTTTTTAAAAATAAGCAGAACAACACATCAATGTTTCTCTCTCCCTCTCAAACCGATAAATAAATTATCATTTCTTTCTGAAAGTAGGACCAGCCCGGTGGGCGTGGCTCAGTGGCATGCTGGCATGAGCGTCGACCTAGGAACCGGGAAGTCACGTTCGATTCCCGCTCAAGGACAGGCGCCCAGTTTGTGGACCTGATCCCCAGTGTGGGGCGTGCGGGAGGCAGCCAATCCATGATGCTCTCTCATCATTGACCTTTCTAACTCTCTCCCTCTCCCTTCCTCCCTGAAATCAACTAAGAAAATATTTTTTTAAAAAAAGAAAAGACATGCAGTCTGAAGCAATCAGAATGGCTTATGAGTTGAATAATCAAATTCTCGCCCGGCCTGGCGTAGCTCAGTGGCTGAGCGTCGACCTATGAACCAGGAGGTTATGGTTTGATTCCGGCTCAAGGGCACATGCCTGGGTTTGCAGGCTTTCTCCCCAGTGTAGGGCGAGCATGAGGCAGCTGATACATGATCCTCTCTCATCATGAATGTTTTTCTCACTCTCTCCCTCTCCCTTCCTCTCTGAAATCAATCCTATATAATAAAGAGGTAATATGCAAATTGACCCTCATGCCCTCGTACAAGATGGCCGCCCCCGTGTGATCAAAGATGGCTGGCAGGGGAGGGCAGTTGGGGGCAATCAGGCCTGCAGGGGAGGGCAGTTGGGGGCAATCAGGCTGGCAGGGGAGGGCAGTTGGGGTGACCAGGCTAGCAGGGGAGGGCAGTTGGGAGCCATCAGGCTGGCAGGGGAGGGCAGTTGGGGTGACCAGGCCAGCAGAGGATGGTAGTTGGAGGTGATCAGGCCAGCAGGGAGGGCAGATGAGGGCAATTGGGCTGGCAGGGGAGCAATTAGGTGTCTGCAAGGCTGACAGGGGAGTGGTTAAGCATGTGAGCAGGCTGGCAGGCAGGAGAGCCATTGGGAGCCAGCAGTCCTGGATTATGAGAGGGATGTCCCTGTGGAGGATCGGGCCTAAACCGGCAGTCAGACATCCCCCGAGGGGGTCCCAGATTGGAGAGGGTGCAGCCTGGGCTGAGGGACAGTGCACGAATTTCATGCACCGGGGCCTCTAGCTAAAATATATTAAAACAAACACACACACACAAACACCCAACCCCACGCGAGGCAGGCGTCAGCGCCAGGCGTTACCTGCAAACAGCACGGGGTATGTATGGGTGCTCCCCGCGTCGGAACCGAGGGGGCTGGCCACGGAGCACCCGTACAGCCCTTGGTCTCTCCTCGTGGGGTTCCGTATCTGCAGCACCCCGCCTCCGGACAGAACGATCCTGTGGGACGGCGAGAAGGAGGAGGGGGTCAGCGAGTCAGTGGCCGGGGACCACAGCCAGCCACGGAGAGAAAACAAGGCATGACCGGCCACAGACACGGGGCGGGCAAGGATCCCCAGAGACGGCCCCGTGGAGCCTCCTGCCGATGGGGGAAGGATCCTGCTGGAACCACGTTCTTAGGAGAGGGAACTGGAACGTAGATCGGAGAAAACTGGAATATCCATGAACAAGGTTTTGCAAAAGGGCCCGGCGGGCGTGGCTCAGTGGCTGAGGGTCGACCTAGGAGCCAGGAGGTCAGGGTTCGATTCCTGGCCTGGTCATCCCAACATGCCCGGTGTTACGGGTTCGATCCCCAGTGTGGGGCGTGCAGGAGGCGGCCGGTCCATAATTGTAATCTCATCATGGCTGTTTCTCTCTCTGTCCCTTTTCTTTCCTCTCTGACATCAATAAAAATATATTTAAAAAAAACTCAACAAGCCCTAGCTGGTGTGGCTCGAGTGTCCGCCTGCAGACTGAAGGATCCCAGGTTCAATTCCAGTCAAGGGCATGTGCCTGGGTTGTGGGCTCAATCCCCAGGAGGGGGCGTGCAGGAGGTAGCTGATCCACGATTCTCTCATCATGGATGTTTCTCTCCCTTCCTCTCTGAAATCAGTAAAAATATACACTGAGTGGCCAGATTATTATGATCTCTGAACGCATAATAAATCTGGCCACTCAGTGTATTTTATTATTGATGGATGGATGGATGGATTGATATATTTCTTCATTGATTTCAGAGAGGCAGGCAGAAGGAGTGAGAGACAGAAACATCCATGATGAGAGAGAACCACTGATAGGCCGCCTCCTGCACGCCCCCTACTGGGGATGGAGCCCGAAACCCAGGCATGTGCCCTTGGCCAGAATCGAACCTGGGACCCTTCAGTCCGCAGACCGAAGCGCTCTAACCACTGACCCACACCGGCCAGGGGCACTGGGTGCATTTTAGCAGAAAGACACCCCCAGAAAGCACGCCTGGCTGTGGGCGGGGGAGGCGCCTCGCCAAAGGAAGCAACGGGTGTCCCCCTTACTCACTTCTCCGAAGGCTGCAGCGGCCTCCCGTCCTTGGTCCAGACGTAGGCCACCGCCCCCTTGCCGCCGCCGCCCAGCCCGCACCGCAGGCGGACGGCCGCCGTCCGGTTGGTGATGTACACGGCGCTCCCGACGGTCGCCTGGACCAGCTCCGGTCCCTTCTTCGTGGACTTGAGCGCCGGCCTGCTCGCGTCTGTGCCCCCGGGGCTTTGGGGCGCACGGCCCGCGGGGGGGTCCCCTCTCCCCTGCGCCTCCTCCTCCTCCTCCTCCTCCTCCGGGGGCTGCGCCTTGGCGAGCTCGGCCTCCAGCCGGTGGGCGATGACCGGGGACGCCAGGGGGCCGCCCACCAGCCGGCTCAGGTTCCCGATCAACTCGTCGTCGTCGAACCGGGGGGCCGTGTCCAGGCTGTAGGCGCCCCGTTTCTCGGCGGCTTCCGACGGCTGCCCTGTCCGCTCGCCCCAGGCCCCGGGGTGGTGGCAGCGGCCCAGCAGGGCGCAGAGGAGCGGCTGAGGATGGCGCCCCGGGCCGCCCTCGGCGCCGCCCGCCTCCAGCAGCTCATGGCGCTGCTTCTTCCACACCCGCCTCAGGGTCTGCCGCGTGGACCCCAAAGGATCGGGGGACCGGCCGGGGCCCGCGGTAGCGGCGGCGGGGGGTCCCCATGCGCGCTCCTGCGACGTCGCGGCGCGCTCGTGCGTAGACGCCGCGCGCTCCTGCGCCTGCGACGCCGCGCGCTCCTGCGCCTGCGACGCCGCGCGCTCCTGCGCCTGCGACGCCGCGCGCTCCTGCGCCTGCGACGCCGCGCGCTCCTGCGCCTGCGACGCCGCGCGCTCCTGCGCCTGCGACGCCGCGCGCTCCTGCGCCTGCGACGCCGCGCGCTCCTGCGTAGACGCCGCGCGCTCCTGCGTAGACGCCGCGCGCTCCTGCGTAGACGCCGCGCGCTCCTGCGTAGACGCCGCGGCCGCGCGCTCCTGCGACGCCTGCGACACCTGCGTCGACGCCGCGCGCTCGTGCTCGTGCGTCGCCGCGCGCTCCCCGGGCCCCGGGCCCCTGAGTAGCCGGTTGCCGGCGCCGATGAACTTGAGCACCAGGGTCTCCCGCGCGGGGCCGGCCACGCAGCTGTACACGCCGGCGTCCTCGGGGGCCGCCAGGCCGTGGATCTTCAGGGACCCCGCCTTGGTGACGGCCCAGCGGCGGCGCTGGGAGGAGGGCTGCAGGCGGCGGCCGTCCTTCTCCCACCGGACCCGCGCCTTCGGGAACCGGCGCACCGGGCACCGGATCACCACCGACGCCGCTGCCGACGCGTTGGGCAGCAGGTAGGCGCGGCCGCCCACCGTCAGGTGCACGCGCTTCTCCTCCCGCGTCTGGATGTACACGCGCCGGGCGGCCAGGATCTGGGGACCCTTCGTCTCTCCTCTCCGCTCTGTAAGGGAGGAAAAACAAAACAAAACAAAACAAAACAAAAGAATGAAGCTTCCCTCCCCAACCCCAGCCGGTGTGGCTCAGTGGGTAGAGCGTCGTCGGCCTGCGGACTGAAGGGTCCTTGGTTCGGTTCCCGGTCAAGAGCACGTGCCCGGGTGGCGGGCTCCGCTGTCCCCAGTGGGGGGCGTGCAAGAGGCGGCCGATCCATGATTCTCTCTCATCACAGATGTTTCTATTGTATCTCTCTCCCTCTCCCTTCTTCTCTAACATCAATCAACCAATAATAATAATAATAAATAATAATAATAGTAAAATGCCAACAAACATCTCAGGAATAAAGGGTTTTTCACTTTAAATCTTTATTTATTTCTACTGTTACCGATACTTTTGTGCTCTCTCTAAAAAGGCCATGCTAAGCTCCAGCCGGTGTGGCTCAGTGGGTAGAGCGTCGGCCTGTGGACTGAAGGGTCCCGGGGTCGGGTTCCCGCTCAGAGCACACGCCCGGGTTTCAGGCTCGATCCCCAGTAGGGGGCTACCATTCATTTTCCAGGCTTTCATTCTCAGATGTTTATTGTGGTGTTTTTTTTGTGTGTGTGTTTTATTGATTTCAGAGAGGAAGAGAGAAACATCCATAAAGAGAGAGAATCATGGATCGGCTGCCTCCTGCAGGCCCTCTACTGGGGATGGAACCCACAACCCAGGCCTGTGCCCTTGGCCGGGAATCGAACCCATCATCTGCTGGTTCATGGGTTCGACCCCCCACCACGGAGCCGCCTGGACCGGGCAGAAACAGTAGTCTTTGTCTTTTTTTCTTTCTCCCCCTACCTCGTGTCCCCGCCACACGCCACAGTCATGTATGACTTCATCTCGGGCCACGTGGCACACGCCCTGCTCACCGCGACGCCTCCCACACGGTATTCTGTTATTTTAGCGGGAGCAGCCGGAGTGGCTTCTGTCCCACGCTTCTCCTGGGCCGTCTGTGGTCTAGCCACAGGGCCGTCCAACCACCCGCAGCTCCTAAAAGCCAGACCGATGCAGCATCAGAGTTCCAGGGCTCTGGGGCACCCTGAGTCTGGGGATCACAAATCCTCGGAGGCTCGAGATTTTGAAAATTTGTTCTCAAAGAATTTCCAGGGGCAGGCCCTCACCCCCCCAAAAAAAAACACACACACAAAACAAAACAAAAAAACATCCAAAACACCCCCCACTAATGTCATCCATGAGTCAGCAGGGAGAGGGGGGTAAGAATAGGGGCGGCGGGGGGGGAGGGGGAAGAGGGGTTGGCCACCTGGCAGGTAAGGGCCTGGCCAAGTCTCAGACTGTCTCTAAATCTTGGATTCCTCGTCTCCAAACAGGGGGTTATCTCTGCCTCCAGATAAACGAGTTAATGCACAAAAGCAACTCCACTTAATAAGTGCTATTCGTTTCTTTGTAAAAAAATATATATTTTTTATTGATCTTTTTTAGAGAGGAAGTGGGAGGGAGAGCTACAAACATGGATGAGAAACATCCATCAGCTGCCTCCTGTGCTCCCCCTCCTCTTTACGTATACAATACAAGGGCAATATGCACATGACATGCACTGACCACCAGGGGGCAGACGCTCAATGCAGGAGGCGCTCCCCTCCGCCAGCGGTGGTGGTGGGACCCTCTCCCACCTTGGCGTGTCCTAAGCCGGCAGACGGATGCCCCCCACCCCCCAGGTCAGGTCTCCTGGACCGTGAGAGGGCACCGGCCGGGCTGAGGGACCCCCTGCCCCCGGAGTGCCGGGAGGGCCTCCAGTCCATAAATAAGAGTCAGTGGCTGCTATTTGGATGGTGAAGCCGTAGGAACGAGACGCCTGCTCCCCATACTCACTGCTGCACGCCGGCATCTGGCAGGGCTGCACCAGGGGCGGCGCCGGAAGCAGCTCCCGGCACAGGGCCGCGCTGACGGGCACCCGCCTGCCCTTGGCCGTCAGCCGCTGGCACACCTGCTTCCTCCGCTGGGTCCCTGCACCGCAGCTGACGGAGCACTGCAGGGGGGACGGACAACAGCGCCTTCAAACACACACACACACGCACACACTCACACACACAGACACACACACTCACACACACACACAGACACACACACACACACTCACACACAGACACACACTCACACACACACACAGACACACACACACACACACTTACACACTCACACACACACACACACACAAGCACACACACACATACACACACTCACACACTCATACACTCACACACAGACACACACACACACTCATACACACACACACAGACACTCACACACACTCATACACACACACACTCATACACTCACACACACTCACACACACACACACAGACACACTCACACACACACTCACACACACACACTCACACACTCACACACACACAGACACACACACACTCACACACACTCATACACACACACACACACACACAGACACACACACACACAGACACACACACACTCATACACACACACTCATACACTCACACACACACTCACACACACACTCACACACACACACAGACACACACACTCACACACACACTCACACACACACACACTCACACACACACTCACACACAGACACACACACACAGACACTCACACACACACATACTCACACTCACACACACACACACTCACACACACACTCACACACACACGCACACACACAGACACACACACTCACACACACTCATACACACTCACACACTCATACTCACACACACTCTCACACACACACACACTCACACACAGACACACACACTCACACTCACACACACACACACTCACACACAGACACACACACACACACTCATACATTCACACACACACACACTCACACACTCACACACACACTCACACACACATACTCACACTCACACACACACATACACTCACACACACACACACTCTCACACACACACACTCACACACACACACTCACACACAGACACACACACTCATACATTCACACACACACTCACTCACACTCACACACTCACACACACACTCACACACACATACTCACACACACACACACATACACACACATACACTCACACACACACACTCACACACACACACACTCACACACACTCACAGACACACTCACACACACACTCACACACACAGACACTCACACACACACTCACACACACACACACACATACACACTCACACACACACGCGCGCGCACACACGCACCCAGACACACACACACACACTCACACACACAAACACACTCACACACAGACACACACACACACACACACACACACACACACACACCTACACTAATAAAAGGGTAATACAGCCGAAACCGGTGTGGCTCAGTGGATAGAGCGTCGGCCTGCGGACTGAAAGGTCCTGGGTTTGATTCCAGTCAAGGGCATGGACGTTGGTTGCGGGCACATCCCCGGTAGGGGGGTGTGCAAGAGGCAGCTGGTCGATGTTTCTCTCTCATCGACGTTTCTAGCTCTCTATCTCTCTCCCTTCCTCTCTGTAAAAAATCAATAAAATATATATTTTTAAAAAGGGTGATATATTAATGAGACCGACATCTTCCGGACAGGGCCACAGGGGCGTGGGGGGGCGGGGGGGGGGGCTGAGGCAGAGGCAGTTGTAGGGGAGATCGGGCCAGGAGGGGAAAGGCTGTTGTGGGTGATCAGAACAGGCAGGGGAGAGCCGTGAGGGGCGATCATTGCCAGCAGGCAGGTGGGCGGTTAGGAGCCAGCGGTCCCCAGATTGCGGGAGGGGTGTCCGACTGCCCACAGGGCCCGGGCCTACCCCGGCAGCCGGACGTCCCCCGAGGGGTCCTGGATTGGAGAGGGTGCAGGCCGGGCTGAGGGACACCCCCCCGCCCCTATCCACCAGAGTGGTTAGTGGTGACCAGGCGGGCAGGCAGGGGAGCGGTTAGGAGCCAGCGGTCCCGGATTGCGAGAGGGATGTCCCGCTGCCGGTGTAGGCCCGATCCCTGTGGAAGGGGGTGACGGTAGGCTGAGGGACACCTCCCCTGCCATATGCTCATGCTCATTTCATGCACCGGGCCATTAGTCTCTCTCTCTCTATATATATATAAAAGCCTATCATGCTAATGGCCTCTCTGACATGCACTGACCACCAGGGGGCAGATGCTCCGACCAGGAGGTTAGCCTGCTGATCGGGACTGGGTAAGAGGGGCCGGACACGCCCTGGAGCCCTCCCGCTGTCCCTCCAGGGCCCCGATGGTGCGACAGCGGGGTCCCTCGGCCTGGCCCGCGCCCTCTTCGCCATCTGGGGGTGTTGGAGGGTGGGCTTCGGCCGGGCAGAGCGTGCACTGAGCCTCTCGTATTTTATTGACACACATGGGGGGGCCTGTGCGGCCGGGAGGGGCCCTCACCTCGGACCAGTCGCCCACGGAGAGGTGCGGGGGGCAGTCGGTCCTGGCGCAGGACTTACGGGATGCCGGCCGGGGGCCCTGGCACAGCGCGTCGGACAGGCCCAGGGAGCTGCCGTCCGTCAGCAGCTGCCGGCAGGTGACCCTCCGGTGCTGGGCGCCCCCTCCGCACGTCCGGGGGCACTGCAGGGTGGAGGGGGGGCGTCAGGGCGGGCTCACCCCCACCCCCCCACCCCAGGAGCCCGGCAGGCGGGCGGTCAAGGGGGGCCCGGGGGGAGACAGGGTGCAGGCTGCCTACCTGCTGCCAGTCCTCGATGTGCCAGCCGGGAGGGCAGTCGAACTGGTTGCAGGCCTGCAGGGCGTGGGGCCGGTCGGCCCCGCACGCCTCGGCCGGGGCGGGCGCGTCCCCGGGGTGCAGGCAGTGCACGTCCCGCGTCTGGATGCCCACGCCGCAGGTCGCCGAGCAGGGCCCCCAGGGGCCCGTGCGCCACCTGGGCGGGAAGAGGAGCGGGAGGTTGGACGGTCCCATGAGACCGCGGGCGTCGTGACGTGGGGACGATCTTAGGTCCTCAGAGCCTGCAGACGTCACGCCGCGAACGCAGCATCTCAGGTGCCAAAAGGTGTGTTGGGAGCCGAGTCCCCTGCCGACCTGAGAATCGGGGGATGGAGCAAGGGTGGGTAGCCCTGCCTGCTCTCCTCCAGGAGTCCTTGGGCACGTGGCAAGCAACAGTGTCCTTCGTTCTGCTGTGCGTGCAAACAACAACAAAACACACACACACACACACACACACACAAAAACACAATACATGCCCAGCTGGTGTGGCTCAGTGGTCGAGCGTTGACCCATGAACCAGGAGGTCACTGATTCAGTTCCCGGTCAGGGTTGCAGACTCAATCCCCAGTGGGGAGTTTGCAGGCGGCAGCCAATCCGTGATTCTCTCTCCTCATGGCTGTTTCTCCTCCCTCTCCCTCTCCCTCTCCCTCTCCCTCTCCCTCTCCCTCTCCCTCTCCCTCTCCCTCTCCCTCTCCCTCTCCCTCTCCCTCTCCCTCTCCCTCTCCCTCTCCCTCTCCTCTCCCTCTCCCTCTCCCTCTCCCTCTCCCTCTCCCTCTCCCTCTCCCTCTCCCTCTCCCTCTCCCTCTCCCTCTCCCTCTCCCTCTCCCTCTCCCTCTCCTCTCCCTCTCCCTCTCCCTCTCCCTCTCCCTCTCTGAGATCCACTTAAAAATATATTTTAAAAATATGAATCTGGTTGCAGCATAGCTTGAGCGGAGAAGGGAGCACTGGGAAGCAGGCTGGTCAGGCGGACCCCCCCTGGCTCCAGGCCCAGGCCCGTGTCCTGGGAGCGAGACACACGCACACGCACACACACGTACCTGGGCGGGCAGGGCTCCGTGTTACACGCCTGGCTCATGGCGGGAGGCCGGTGCACCGAGTCACACAGCGAGTCGTTGACCGTCTGCCGGGTCTGCGAGTGCAGACACACTGCGATGGCCTCCTGGTGGCCTGGAGGGTGGACGGAGACAGAAATGCAAATGATTTTTAAAAATCTTTTATATTTAAAAAAAATTTTTTTAAATTGATTTCAGAGAGAAAGGCAGAGGGGATAGAGAGACAGACAGACAAACATGTTTCTCTTTCTCCCTCTCCCTTCCTCTCTGAAATCAATAAAAATCTATAACTGATAAAAGGGTAATATGCTGATTAGACCAGGAGATCTTCCGGACAAAGCCATGGTGACAGGACAAGGCAGAGGTGGTGAGGGTCGATCAGGCCAGGAGGGGAGGGCATTTGGGGGTGATCAGGCTGGTGGTGGTGGGGGGAAGAGTTGGGGGCGAGCAGGCCAGCAGGGGTGGGCAGTTGGGGGTGATCAGGCAGGCAGGCGGGACAGTTAGGGTTCCAATCCCGGATAGGGCACATGCCCGGGTTGTGGGTCCGATCCCCAGTGTGTGGGGTGTCCCTCAGCCCA